AAACTATTTAGTTTTCATTTGATTAGGCCCCTATATATATATATATATATATATATATATATATATAATGGAAAGATTTATTTGAAAAGTGATAAAAATTTAAAAAGTAAATAAGTGATTTTTTCCATTCATCTAGTCAACATTTGCAGCTTTAACCGTGAAATATCAGCTAATCTCCTTACATGGGTATGCAAAAAATAAAGGAATCATTTCTTAACTTTTACAAATAGGTGGTAAACGGGTCCACATATGAACTCATGTAATACACATATGAACTATACACAAGGGTGGTGTCTGATTAGTTTAAGCTTTGCTCCAAAGATCAAAAGTACCAGGAGGTCTCAGATTCAAATCCAAGGAGAAATAAAAATCTCCTTGTGGTCATGGAGATTCAAATGCGGTGACTATGGACTATCTGCGAAGTAAATAGTCGCCCTAGAATATAGCGGGTTGCATATCCAGATTAATCAAAAAAAAACTATATATTCATATATGAACCGGTTAACTAGTTCAGATGAGAATCACATAGATTCAAATATAAATCAGTTAATTATTTCATATGTAAATCAGTTAAAATAGTTCATCTATCAATTTTAAATCGTTTAGGGCCTTTCATAAATGAATGTAAAACTACAGCCCCCTCAATGTCTATAATTTCTATTAAAAAAACAAAAGTAATTCGCTTTTATCATCACATATATAATTTGTATACACACATACATATATACACACTACACATATAAATACATATATATATATATATATATATATATATATTTGTTATCTTAATTTACAGTGTAATCAAAAACTTTATATATGTTAAAAATAACCAAAAAAAGTCTTCAATAACTCTAGAAAAGTCAAACTAATTACCCACATGTATTAAAAATGTAAGTTTTATTATCAATTAAACTATAATTAAATACAGTATCTAAAAACCAGATGCTCTGCAATACGCTACACATGAATCTATGCATTTATAAAAATATTGATGCTAATATCTATCAATTACATAATTATGTTTATGTGTACATTAATCAAATTAACAAATATAAATAATATAATTAAATAAATATATATAAAAGAAAACCAGTTCTCTTTGTTGTCTGTTTTTGCAGGCTTTTGCTTTTTGATCATTATCTTTGGGTGTAAAATGTGGAGCATGCATTCAAAACCCCACATGTAAAAATAACATCAATTTCATCACACACTAGAAAATCAACACACACTTTGAGATTTATGTCGATTCATTGTTAATAATCTCCCACTATTTGATGATGATGACTTCTGTCAAATTTAGTATCTTCATCTTCTCGACATTCATACTGTTCACATCTCGTCAGCGTTGTCAGGCATCGCAAGACAACTTGACGAAGAACGAGTCAGTAAAAGATGAGGATCACGAAACTCTCGTTTCCCCCGGAAAAGTGTTTCAAATGGGATTCTTCAAGCCGGAATCAAATCAGAACGATGATCGTAGGTACCTTGGGATCTGGTATTATACAGATCCGAAGACAGTTGTGTGGGTTGCCAATCGTGACAACCCGTTGTCATCGGGTTCCTCTGTTCTAGCAATCGAGAATGATGGGAACTTGGTAGTGAAGGATAAGTATCGAGAATACTTCACCACCGGCCTCCCGCCATCATCTAGTGTCCGAACCTTGAAGCTGTTAGACACTGGAAACGCAATTCTTGAAGATAAATCGAGAAACGTGGTGTGGTCTAGTTTCAGTTTCCCGACCGATACTTTTCTTCCTGGTATGTATATGGAGAAGGCCATGAAGTTAACTTCCTGGAAGAGTCAACACGATCCCGGAACCGGAATGTTTGTATTCCAGAAAGATCAAGTCTTCGGTTACAACAATTACACCATCTTCGCCGATAAAAAGCTTCACTGGAAAAGCGGGTTCGGACTAGAAAGCAACACGAACCCGACCAAAATGCCGATGGCCGCAATTCACTTGTTGTCGAACACTAGCCGAATACCGACTTTCTCCCGGCTAGTAATGCAGAGTTCTGGTGAGATTCAGTTCTACAATTGGGATTCAAGTTTCAGAAAATGGGTTTTAAATTGGTCGGAACCGAAAGATTATTGTAACAGATATAACGCTTGTGGACCGAATAGTAGTTGTAACATCAGTAGAAACGTCGAGAAGGATTCGATCTGCAGATGCTTACCGGGTTTTGAGCTAATTCCCGATGTCACGACATCAGAACAAACGTGCAAACGGACGTCAAAGATCTGCAGTGGAAACGATAGCAATTTCTTGAGTATGATGATTATGAAGATTGATGTTACATTTCAGACGTTTTTGGAGTCTAGAAACGAGCAGGAATGCAAAGAGAAGTGTTTGGGGCTTGATTGTTGCCAAGCGTATTCATATAATGCGGTCGGGAATCCGGAATTGGTTCTAGCCGGGGTTCCGGGAGGTAAACAAGGGTGCTGGATTTGGAGTTCGGGATCTCAGCTTGTCGATATTCAAATCGGAGATGACACCAGTGGACACATAGTTGCCATCAGGAACCCAGTTTCAGTAGGTACATGTTATGTTTAGTTGCACTTCATGACCTAAAATTCAAACCTTTTAAACTTGTTTACGAGCTCGAACTCGGGATTGAGTAACTCATTTATTGGCTCGAGGTCGATAAATTTTATATTTTGATCGTATGATTTGTTCGAGTCTCACATAGCTGAACTTGCATCATTTCTTCTTAGTTGGCTCGAGAAATTGCACGTATTCTCATATGGTATCAGGGCACAGGTCTACAACTTCAAGAACTCGACACTCTAAGACAATCTATACTCGTTTCTATCCCCCAAAGAAAAAACCTGTTAAGCCCCCTCTTGCTACTCTGGGAAATTTTAAAATTCGTACCCATCTAGCCTCTGCTAGAGGAGGGATGTCAGAGTCCTACATTAGCTAAACTCGGACCATTTTTCCTCAATATATCTTAAAACCATCACTCTCCTCAGTGGCTAGCTTGGAAAGTGATCCGAGGGTTTCACATATTTCACAGGTGTTACGTAGCTCGACTCGCTAGGATAAACGAGCTTTATCTTGTGTTTGAGACAGACTCGAGCTCAAGAATTACTAAGTTCGAGTTTAATATTATAAACATGATTATACAATATATTATATATATATACCATTTGTTTCAGGATTCAAAAGCCCTCCAACAGCTAACATAACTGCAAAAAGAACAAAGCCAATATCCCCTGAAGTCATCATTCTTTCAGCAATTGTGATTCCTGGACTTCTACTGTTATGCTGCATTGGCTTCATTTGTTATAGGAGGAGGATCAATATCAAGAAAGGACAAGGTATAACTTTGACTTATTGACTTTTCCGACCATCATACTCGACATTCTATTGGTGACTTCTTTACTTTCAAACTCCGAACCTAAAGAATTCAGGACTGTTTACTAAACACTAACTGTCTGCCCTTTACCGGGTAAGAGACGCTTACCCGTTCAAAGATGATGGTTTTTACCACAATCTTACTCTGCCATTTTGCTAACCAGGAATCTTACCATGTGCCATTTTGGTGACCGAGTGTTACCAAGTAAGATTTTTACTATGCTATTTTGATGACCGAGAATCTTACCAAGTAAAATAAGTGAGGGTGGTGACCCTTATCCAGTAAGCGCTTACCCCATCAAAACTGAGCTCGAGGGGGTATTATTTCAATTAATAAAATTATAACATATAGGTTCGTATATGGATTTCTATTTCAGGAAGCGCAGAAAGCGATTCTATTCATCAGTTTAATGAAAGTGTGAGGCAAGTCCAGGATTTGTTGGATCCGTTTCATTCAAATGAAAATGATTCACAAACCATAGGGATACCTTTCTTCGTGTTTGAAAGAATATCGGCTTCCACAGATGGCTTCTCGGAGGCAAATAAGCTTGGTGAAGGTGGTTTTGGACCCGTTTATAAGGTTAGAAAATTCCTATTACTTACAGAAGAAAGTATCAGCAGTCGAGTGTTATCTATTCGATTATCTACTTCACTACAACAAAATTTGTTTTATAGGTCGTCTTATATGTCTAAATATCATAATAGACTATTTTATATGACTTAAATTTATAGTACCAAACAATTGTGCATCATATGTAAAGGTGTTACAACAGGATGTCACGAAATATTTGGGCATATTCAAACAAGTTGTTCTAGTTATTTTGAAATAGAGTGTTCTATTAGCTTTTTTTATGACATTTTTGAAAAAGGTCCTCATGTTTTCAAATAATGTCATATAAAAAAATTATTAGGAAGTTTTATGCAAAACTTGTTAGGATCTCCAAAAGTGTCATATCAACTTATTGTAACACGTATATATTGGACATATAATTTGTTTGTTCTTATAAAGTATTCTATTAGGATATTTAGACATATCTGACGTCCTATAAAGTTGATTTTGTTGTAGAGGCAGTTGGTCACCACATCCCTGTAATTTCATACGGTGGTTGCTAATCTTTGTTTTCGCGTACCAAATGATTGGGGCGAATTATAAATGTTAGGGTAAGTTCCCGGGAGGACTAGAAATTGCAGTGAAGAGGCTATCGATCCATTCAGGACAAGGTCTAGAAGAGTTCAAGAACGAGGTTACTTTGATTGCTAAACTTCAACATCGGAATCTTGTTAGGCTGTTGGGATATTGCATGAAGGGAAACGAGAAGATGTTAATATACGAGTATATGCCCAACAAAAGCCTAGATGCATTCATATTTGGTAATTCCTCTTCATCCGAAGACCAACCACAATGGTCGACTTTTTCTTGAAGCTTTTTCCATAAAAAAATGGGACCCACAAACAAAAAACAAGCTTTTTAAGAGGGCCATTTACGGTTAGGGATATATGACCTTAAATGAGTCTTTGATTAAATTCATAACCTTGTGACGTACTAAAGAAACAACGTCCAAGTACAAGAATTTTTGGGATTTTTTTAACCAGAACGAAGGTTGAAAACCCGATATTTCAAATCCAAGAACATAAAAAAACGAACATGTATATATGTGCTTATGTTTTGAATGAACTACTTGCAAGATGAAACGCAAAGTGTATTGCTTGATTGGAAGAAGAGGTTCGAAATAATTCTGGGGATATGTAGAGGACTCATATATCTTCATCAAGATTCAAGATTGAGAATCATCCATAGGGATTTAAAGACGAGCAACATATTGTTAGACGAAGATCTAAATCCAAAAATTTCGGACTTTGGATTGGCAAAGATCGTCAATGGCAAAGAAGTCGAATCTAATACCAAAAGAGTTATTGGAACCTAGTAAGTATTGCAGAGTAACCTATTTCTTCGCAAATTTACTTCATGTTTCATCAATTTTTGCCCTTCGTTCTGCTCTTCGGCCAAAAACTATACTTTTCCTACTAACTTATCTTTAACTATCATCAAATAACTTATTGTGATACGATCAAATTGGTCAAGTAACCTTTTCTTGGCGAAAAGTAGAGCGGATGTACAAAATTATGCAAACATAAGGTGAAGTGAGCAGATAGAATGCATGACCTTCTAACAGATTTTGAGACATTCTTCTGTTAGACAAAAGGGGTCATAAAATCTGTCAGAAGGTAATGCATTTAAAAGAAGACCCATCAAGAAAAGTCTAGTTTTTGTTAAAAAAAAATAAGACCATATACAATGAAAAAAAGTAACTGAAAATAAGACTAATTTGTTTCTATTATCTGGGGTTGATGCAGTGGTTATATGGCTCCAGAGTATGCATTGGAGGGATTATTTTCAATAAAATCTGATGTTTATAGCTTTGGAGTAGTTGTTCTAGAGATCATCAGTGGAAAAAAGAAACATTATCAATGTGAACAAGCCATCAGTCTTCTAAATTATGTAAGTTCAATTTCAAGTCTCCTCAAGGTCACCGGAGATTTTCCTCATTGTTATCACCGCAACAAAATCGGATTTATAGGACGCCACAAATATATAAGTGACTTAATAGATTGCTTTATAAGACTTAAGTTTATAGAACTAAACAATTGTGTTTATATCTAAAAGCGATGCAATATTTCTATAGAATGCTTTTAAGCATTAAAAAGCTTTTTAAGACACTTTTGAAATAAAATGTCCTATTAGCTTTTTTATATGACACTTTTGAGAAGTGTCATGTAAGCATATCTTTTTTATAGGACGCTTCTTTTATACATTTTTTCAAATAGTATCATATAAAAAAATAATGTTTTATTTCAAAAATGTCCTAGAACTTGTTAAGACACACAAAAGCGGTCTGTAAACATATTGCAACACTTTTATTTAGGACACTTATATAACTATATGTTTGGTCCTATAAATGTAAGTCTTACAAATCACTCTACTCGGACAATTAGAGATTTTTGTTGTCCTGTAAACTCAATTTTGTTGTAGTGTATCTTCAGGGCCCTATTGGATTAGGCTAGGGGTACATAAACTAGCTCGGTAGTCTACTCTTACCATAAAAAAACTTCAACTTTTTAAGACTCGAAATATCTTTCAAACTTCAATCATCTAACTACCGACATATACTGGGTTGGTTTGGTTTGGTTTTATCTGATCTCGTGTCCTACTCTCAGGCTTGGCATTTGTGGAAGGAAGGTAGACCGTTGGATCTAATGGAACGAGTTCTAACAGAAAGCTACGACTCCGAAGAAGTATTGAAGTGCATAATTGTCGGTCTTTTATGTGTGCAAGAAGATCCTGATGATCGTCCTAGTATGTCGAACGTAGTAACGATGCTCACGAGCGACATTGCTACACTTCCCGAACCAAAGCAACCGGCATTTTTAGTAAGAAAACTAACTTCGAGTTCTAATACTTCTTCGTATAAACCAGAAACAAATACGGACGTCCAAGTGACAATCTCCATGATACAAGGACGATAATTAAGTATGGTGATTAATTTAAGTTGTCATTACTTTTCTATCATTTGTCTCACAAATTCAAGTTTTCTTCTCCTCGTTTTCAATTTAAACATATAAGAAATTTCAGTTACATATTTTATCAATCATATACTCATACTTTCTATCATTATATCAAAAGTAAAATTACATTTTTCGTCCCCGTGGTTTAGTGTTTGTAACAGATCTCATCCCTATTATTAAAAATAAATGAAACGTGTCCCTGTCGTTGCGTTTTTTAACGAGTCAGGTCCCTTTGAGTTCTTGTGGTTGCAGTTTCTAATGAGTTGGGTCCCTGAATAAATTAACGGGTTAGAGTTGCATTATGGACCGAGCTCGTTTAAAAATGTAACCACAGAGACTCGGTCATTAAAAAAATGCAACCACAAGGACCCAACTCATTAATTTTTCAAGATAGGAACGAGATCCATTAAAAGCATCAAACCGTAGGGACAAAAAAATGTAATTCACTCTTATATCTATTACATTGATCTATAAATCATAAGTGAGCAAAGACAATCATTTAACACGCATGAGCAAAATCACCAATTGGTATGGTTGTTTTCAGAACAACAAACTGATGGAGATATCAATGAAAACGATAGAAAAAAGTGAGACTGCAAATTTTACGAAAGATTGCGAAGGGAGCTCAAGCACAGGAACACCAGAAAAAGAACAAGGAGAGAGGTGGAAGGAGCTAGAGATGCATAAACAGGCTAGGACCCAAGATAGGTCATGAGCCAGGCAAGCTTGGTCCCGACCTCAGTTAGGCTCATCGGTTCATATTAGTATTCATTAATGAATATTATTAGTATTCATTAATGAATATTGATTACAATCAAAGCTGGTTAAAGCTAGAAGCCCGATTAAACACCAAGTCGAGACCATTTCATTTTTGTTTATTTTTCTTATGTGTTTTTAGAACCCTTTGTATAGTTTACTAATAACAAAAATATTTTGGTAGCTCATAAACTAAATGCGTGGTGCAAAAACTAGTTGAAAAATGTAAAATGACCAAAAAAACATTTTTAAAATTTAATAAATTTTAACATTTCACTAGTAATATAATATGTTAATTAATACAGACCAGATGGTAAAGAAAATTAAATAACAGAATATGTTAATTTATAGATTTCAATTTGATTTATTATCATTTTATATATACATATGAAATATTGAAAGTGTTGGATTTGTATAACCAAATATAAATTTGTAGAAAATATCTAACATTAAATGATGATTTTAAGTAACCAATAAATATAATATAAATAAAAAGCAAAGTTTGTCAATCTTACATATCTTAATTACTTGATAATTTCTCAAAAAAAGATAATTAAATGTGTACTCCAATTAGCATATAAGGTAACTTATGTCCATCCAAACGTATACTTTAAAAATTAAGATAGCTTATAAGCTAACGTATGGTTGTCAAAAAATGTCTATAAGAGGCTAGACCAAAAGCCCAAACCAAATGTTTTTTTAAGGACCGATCCTAAACCAAGGCAGACATTTGTGAAAATTCGGTCTTTACCTTATCAGATCTAGACTGGTCCCGACTTTCTTCCAGTCAGTTATGCACATCCAGTAGACGGAATTATTAGAAGAGGGTGTTTAAGGTTTGGGCGGCAACAAATAGTGGTGGATTTACGCGGTGGCATTGGGTACCTATGCAAGTGCAACCACAAAAAATTTCCAGTAGCGTGAAAAAATTATAGTTCTCAAGGATGCTACCATTTTGTTTGGTTGTGTGCTACAGTTCAACCACAAAAATATCTTTCTAGATCCACTTCTAACGACAAATAAGATCGGGTTTTCACATTGAGCCTCGTGTCGTTTGTTATTCTTTTGGGGTTGTATATTGTGCTCTCCCATGGTTTTTTTCAAAAACCTCAACCTTCAAAAAAAATGACAATTCTCATAATGTTTTCTTGTCATTGCTATAGGTCTAAAATGATGCCATTTGATTAGTTGTTTCAGTGAACTTTTCACACCATTGGTATCCCTTTAAATCCTACAACTTGAATCTCTTGATCAAGTTCAATAAAGAACTAAAAAAGGGAAGCTACAGGTGGAAAAGCGTGATAGTAAATACCGAAAGATAAAAGCCAATTTAAGAGTGAAACACAGAGTGAGTCTCGTTACTTGAGTGCAAAAACACAAGAAACTATTGCAAGGACTTATTTCTAACATTTCTAGTTTGTTTCAGAAGTATGTCTACCAAGAATGGTATATCAAACAAAGACGGAGGGGAAGGGTCTTCGTTCATGTTACAAGCTATGCAACAACAATTTGAAAGCACGAATGTTGTGTTTAATGAGATTTTGGATCGGGTTGGATAGACAAAATGCTAGCTATTGTAAATATGTTTTTTTTTT